CTATCGGCATTTACTGACGATCCTAGGTGTTGTCAAGGATCTATCAACGTCATTGAGGATGTTGTCTTGCCGCCCAACTCGATGAAGACCGTACGCGTTGACGCCTCTGCCTCGGACGCCGGAAAGTTTGATGTTCTTGTGGAGCCCATTCCTCTTAATTGCGCCAAGAAAAATGTGCTCATTCCACATTGTGTTCTGTCGATCAGTGATGGGCGATCGGCCTTATGGGTGTCGAACTATTCAAATGAACCTGTTATGCTACCCGGCGGAATGCGACTCGCCCGCTTCGAACAAAATGTGACTAGTTTCATTGCATCTTTATGTGACGAGAGAGTAGATCCTATTTGTGCAACGTACCATACAGAAGCCAACTTTCTGAGTATGGTAAACAAGTCGCTAACATCAGAAAAACGTCAAGCTTTGGTCGAAGTCCTTGCGAAGCACGCTACTATATTTGACTTTGCGCAGAAAGAAGAGCAAATAAGTGTACCCGAGTGGCGTACTCACCATGGGATTGACACAGGATCCGCTCACCCTATCCGGCAGAAACCATACCGTGTCTCATCTGCGGAGCGCAAGGTCATTACTCAACAGGTAGAAGAGATGTTAAAGAAAAGGGTTATTCAAGAGTCGTGTAGCCCTTGGGCTGCCCCTGTGATTCTTGTCCGAAAGAAGGATGGTACATGGCGATTCTGCGTGGATTACAGACGGCTCAACTCTGTTACTAAAAAGGATGTCTACCCGCTTCCCAGGATTGATGATGTCATCGATTGTTTACATTCGGCATCGTACTTCTCATCCGTGGATTTGAGATCTGGTTATTGGCAAATACCCATGCACCCGAATGACAAAGAGAAAACGGCCTTCATAACCCCAGATGGCCTATTTGAATTCAATGTAATGCCGTTTGGCCTATGCAACGCTCCAGCCACATTTGAGCGCTTCATGGACTCTGTGTTACGTGGATTAAAGTGGGAAGTTTGTCTTTGCTACCTGGATGACATTATAATATTTGGCCGTACATTCGATGAACACAACCATCGTCTAGACATTGTTCTCACCTGCCTTGAGAGAGCTAAGCTCACCCTGAACTCTAAGAAGTGTCACTTTGGCAGCCGCGAGACTCTCGTTCTCGGTCACCTGGTGGACAAGCATGGCGTTCGACCTGACCCCCAGAAAGTCGCAGCAGTCAGCAGCTTCAAACAACCTCAGTCGGTACGAGAGTTGCGAAGCTTTTTGGGCCTATGCTCGTACTTCCGTCGCTTCGTGCCCAGGTTCGCCGACCTCGCTTACCCTTTGACGTCCCTACTCAACAAGAACGCTCCTTTTCGGTGGTCAGCGGAATGCGAGTCGTCTTTTTCGCAACTCAAGTTTGCTCTTACGTCAGGGCCCGTACTTCGCCACTATGACCCATCTGCTGCCACAGAAGTTCATACCGACGCCAGTGGTATAGGTATTGGCGCCGTATTGGTCCAACGCCATGGAGCTGCTGAACACGTCGTTGCCTATGCCAGTCGCTGTTTAAGTAAGCCGGAGCGAAACTATACTGTCACAGAGCAGGAATGTCTCGCGGTCATATTCGCCGTGCACAAGTTTCGCCCTTATATCTATGGCCGCCGATTCTCGATTGTCACGGACCACCATTCTTTATGTTGGCTCACTGGACTACGGGACCCATCTGGTCGTCTTGCTCGTTGGGCATTACGATTGCAAGAACACGACTTTGAAGTCTGCTACAAGAGCGGTCGTCGTCATGCCGACGCTGATTGCCTTTCACGACTTCCCCTTCCGACAACCGAGTGTGACGCTGACAACTTTGATGAATATTTGACTGTAGTGGATACTCCGTTCCCCGACCTAACAACTTTTCGAGCAGAGCAACGCAATGACAACAGTCTCGCTTCTTTCTTTATTTCCGGAACGAACGGTCAACGTGGTTTCGTCGTAAAGGATGGCGTTCTTTACAAAAAGAATTATTCCGGCGTAGGCCCTCGCCTACTTCTAGTTGTGCCTACAAGTCTTCGACAACACGTACTTCGAGCAATGCACGACGACCCAACATCTGGCCATATGGGTTTTTCTAGGACATTTTATCGCACGCAAGAACGCTTCTTCTGGCCGAAGATGCGTAAAAGTGTGACTGCATACGTTGCGAGCTGTGAGCAATGTCAACGCCACAAGCGTCCTACAACTCCGCCAGCCGGACTACTTCATCCCATAGCACCCCCGAGTTCACCATTTGACGTCGTAGGTGTCGACCTGCTCGGCCCTTTTCCGCGATCAACGAACGGCAACCGATGGATTATTGTGGGCGTTGACCACCTCACACGTTACGCCGAAACTGCGGCGATTCCTGCGGCAACGGCCACTCAAGTTTCACAGTTCATGCTGTCACACGTTATATTACGCCATGGATCCCCCCGTGTCATCATCAGTGATCGCGGGCGGCAATTTGTTGCCGATGTAGTTGAAGACCTCCTTCGTCTTGCTTCGTGCCATTTTCGTCACACTACCCCGTATCACCCGCAGGCTAATGGTTTGACGGAACGAACAAATAGGACTCTCGTCAACATGATTTCCATGTATGTTGATTCTGGACACAAAACATGGGACGCGATTTTGCCATTTATAACTTTCGCCTACAACACGGCACAGCACGAAACAACGAGATACAGTCCATTTTATCTGCTCTACGCACGCCAACCCCGCACAGCTCTTGACACTATTCTTCCTTTTTCCGAGACTGATCAACCTACTCTCGCCGAAACCATTTGCCGCGCAGAAGAGGCCCGGCGCATCGCCTGTCTTCGAACTTTCGTCTCACAGAAACGCTCCAAAAACCGTTACGACAGAAGTCACCGGCACGTACGGTTCGAGAAAGGGGATTTGGTGTGGCTTTGGACGCCGCTTCGCAAGCGCGGCCTCTGCCAAAAGTTTCTGGCCAACTACACCGGTCCGTTTGTTGTCTTGGAACGTCTAAGCGATGTCACGTACGTGATACCTCAGCTGTTGTCAACTGGCCGCCGCTCAAGCAAGACCAACGTCGTTCATGTTGCCCGTTTAAAACGCTATCATCATCGCAACGAAGCCTAACTCGCCCGGTGGGCATCGTCTGCAAAGGGGGAATTGCTACGATACTGAGGATGCGCGTGGAAGAAGAGGAGAACGAGGTTGGCACGAGCAGTGATCGGCCAGATCCCTGGACTCTCGCATTGATCATCTCCTGTAAATAAAGGCATCCATCGCACCGTAACAATATATATATATATATATATATATATGTGTGTGTGTGTGTGTGTGTGTGTGTGTGTGTGTGTGTGTGTGTGTGAAAATGCAAGAAAGAAAAATTTTCCAGCGCGCGGGATCGAGCTTCTGAATTGTGAGTGCGAGACATTAGCCACAGAGCCAAAAAGGAGCACCTCCTTCACCATCGAAACGACAAGCTAGTATTTTTATCTACCACTTACCGCTGGCGATAGTCACCTAGGAAGAACTATCGTGTTTCCAGCATTAGCAGCGAGATGGCGCAATAAGCGCGCGTCGCCTAAAGCAGTGTTGCCAGATCGTCCCGACAGGGTGGCGGCGTGCTCTAATCTCCCATGTACTTTGCCCTGGAGAGCCGGGAAGGGAAGGAGGGGGGGTCCTAGACGCTCGTGCGTGCGCTAGCTTATCTCGCGGTGGGGCCAATTGTACGCCTTGAGCTTTCACCGGAACGATTCTGTTGTAGTTACCATTTGCACAAAGGTCATTGCACTCGTTGCACAGTCTCCATTCGCGAAAAGGGCGCGTTTTTTCAGACACAGAAAAGTAAAAATAAGACGCTTACTCTCGTTCATCTGTTCTTTTGAGTATGTTTCGTGCGGCAATTGTGCGTGAGAAATGCGGGGCACATTTTGATCTGCTTTCCATTCTTCACGTGACCTTCCAATTTGTTACTATCGTGTTCATTGATTGGCCTTTGCGGCCGTTCTGTGACTTATTACGAGTAACTTAATGCCCTGCGCCGAAGCGGACGAGTCCGCCAGGTGGGCAACGCGAGAATAGCTATCCTGCACACAATGAACCGCACACAGGTCGGGATGGGTGGCGTCAAAGGAATGGGATAATCACGAGACGCCCCCTCCTATCGTACATGGCTTTGCCTTCCTCCAGGCGGTGGCCTCACCACACCAGTGCATGGGTAGGAAGTGCTCGTGCGAGAGAGCTTGTCAAGTGCCAGGAGTGAGTTTACCGCATAGCTAGCTGTAGTAGCATAGCTTTGAAACAAATATGGCCAAGGGACATATGCGCGCATCATAGCTTCCAGTGGGAGCGCGCGCAAGGAATATTTAAAGAGCTGGGCTAGGAATGTGCCCGAGTCACGATAATGTGCAGCGAAGCGCAACAAGAATTGGAGACAACGTGCGGACATCGAGGCGGCGATGACCGATGGAGCAGCATGCTCATAGCATGATTGGAACATATCTCTATAAAAAGCCGTGCGAAATTTTCTAGGTAACCATCGAATGGCTCCAGAAAGCACGTTTATTGCCTCACGAATCAATTGAGACAAGAACTTTTAGAATTCGACTGTTACACAAGCGTAGTTAGAAAGGTTTGTCTCACGCTGTAATTGCTTTTTTCTCTCCTCTCATCTCGACAAGCGCACTGTAAGCTGGGCAGGGAAGGATGGCGCGGAGAAAAAAAGTTACAGCACGCACGCGTCGTGACCTTGAGCATTTGTCTGTCTTTCTTTTTTTTCTTTTTTTTTTCGAGCCCGACGCAGCATATTTTCAGTGTGGTACGTAGCGAGCGCGGGCACGTGACGGCCACCCTTGGCGGCTTCGTTAACTACGCACCTCACGATACTCGAACCAGCCAATGGACGTGGATTTTAGTATAATACATTCCTTGTAGAAACAAAAGGGAACGATTTCCAGCTGAGTGAAAATTAATTGTACCACACGCCGGAATGCGTAGGAAGGCTCCGGCGCGGGTTATAGTCGGTGTTGCTAACGCACCTGTAGTCGGTAAGGTGCGGCGGGTAGAGCTCGGTCTCGAGGATGACGACCGCGGACTGGCCAATGGTTCGCCACGAGCCCCCAGCTATGCTGAAGCTCACCGGAGAAGGCACCACGGTCAAGGTCACGTTCTCGACGGCGTACACGAACGTCGGCACCATGCGAGCCTGCACCAAGGCACCATGTGATCAAAACTTACCCGGACGCTGAACTGCAGAATCAAAAACCAGTCTAGGACGCTCACGCTGTTTTTGTACCTTGATTGGGTAAGGACTACTAAATGAAAAAAAAGATGACCAAACATCGCTTTCTTTTATTGCGATAGCAAATATATGGACACTCTAGGCTGTTTTTTTTTGTTGCCGTCACCACCATCTTTATTCATCGTATAAATATAAGTATGCATGAATATATATATATATATATATATATATATTATATATATATATATATATATATATATATATATATATATATATATATATATATATATATGAAAACTTAAGAAAAAGAAGCCACCCGCGCTCGGCGCCCAGCTGTTACGATGCGCCGACGCGCGCTTATCTACCACGCATACTTTGCCCCACGAATGGTGGTGGTGGTGGTAGGGGGTTAGATGCTTGCGCGCGCGCGCTTATCCGTCGGTGGGGAGAATCGTGGGCATTTGGCTTTCACCAAAACGATTTTGTTAGTTTCCGGGCCCGCTCTGCTGCACAGGCGCCGTTTGCGAAAAGAGCGCACTTTTCATACACAGCGAAGTATAACAACTGGGACACTTGTTAGTTTGCACTCATCTGTACTTGTGATTACGTTTCGTGCGTAGTTTTTGTTTAAACAGCGCGCTAAGTTTCGAGCGGTAAACGTCGTTAGTTCACTCTCGTCCTGTGTATGCTTTCGTGCGTCATTTGTGCGTGAGCAGCGCGCTGCACGTTTCGATCAGCTTGCCGTTTTCAGCATTACATTGCACGTTGTTGCTAACGTGACATCAGGAGTTTAAACCATCTTACCGAGAAGCTACGGAGTATAGAGATGGAACATTTAGGTTCTTTTTTTTTCAAGGATTTGAATCATCCTCTACCGATATTAAACAATTAGGCATACTCGAGCAGACGCCATTAAATTTATCCCACCGTAATGTAGGGTGCGGGAATTTTGAGATGGATGTGCCACCGAAGTGTCAATAGTTTTCCGCCCTTTGTTTTGACCGAACCGTACTAACGTCCAGCCGGAATTTAATAACGCGCCAGCAATGCGGTAATACGCGGGGACAGAACGTTTCGCGCAGTAACGCAACTCAACGATACGCGTGCAAATAAATAAACAAAATCATTTGACCCTTTTTTGTGAGTCCTCACTTTCACATATATGAAGGGGAACGTTAAAGTTTTTTTGTAAAGACATGTACGTAGAAGGACTCTCCGAAGAAACCGCCACTATCTTCAAAGAAAGTTGACGCGTCGCTTTAATGCATGGATTTCAAACTCACATCAGCTACCGAGCCGAAGTCAAGATGTTTAGCCCCACAAACGGCCGGAGAGTGAAGAGCTGGAAGCAGGGGGAGGGGGGGGCTAATTTTAATATATATTGTCAGCTAATGTTGCCATTGGAATAAAGGGTTTCCAATATGTCATATATGTATCATTTCTGAAAGCGATTTCTTGCATATTCGAGAAATATATCAATACATGCATTCCCAACGACTAAAATCTGCACTGAATAGTTTTTGTTCTGCGGCTGTTTAAACACGAGGTTACCGCAATCAGTGCTTCACAAAACATTTAAGACCAGACAGGTCTGTGTAGCTTATACTAACAAGGTGTTATATTGATCATATTGATCATGACAGCCGAGACATTTTGCGAATGGCATTGAATGCCACAAACATAACAATTTAATAAAAAAAAGGAGGGGACAAAGACTACCATGTGTCATTCGTACGTTAAAAGTCGGCGGACCATGCGTTGGGGAACTCCGCTCCAAAGAGTTTCATATACGCGGCAAGTCAGCGCACGCACGCACGCACGCACGCACGCGCACACACACACACACACACACACACACACACACACACACACACACACACACACACACACACACACACACACACACACACACACACACACACACACAAACAGTGAAGTCCAAGGACGTTCTTTTAACTTAAAGAAAATTCAGGCAAATGCAGGCATGTTAGCCTCGGTATGTATTGCCCGGCTACCCGGCATTGTGGGAAGGGCTGAATGGTATGAAAATTGATAGAGGTTGACAAGGTGTAAACAAAGAATAGAAAACGCGCACACTAACGCGATTCAGCTCTGGCAGCCCGCGTCTTACAACCTATATGCCCTCAAATATTGCAGCAATGCGACTTTAGCCCTTAGCCACCAACAAGAGCTAGACCAGGCACCCATAAAAATGTACGCAAACTCACATGGAAAATAATAACATAAAAAAAGACGGACGTAGGAGAGCAATGAATGGTTAGAGAAAGAAAAACGGAAGGTCGAACGTATACATCTTGCGCAGACATTTTACCGTCCCTCTCACGCATAGAGCTCTTTAGGCCCGAGGAGGTCGCGCACATGAGAGCCAACAAGCCGAGCGGCCGACGGAGGCACACAATCACGAAAAGTGATGGATAAACAAGGGCGATAGCGAGACGGCCCCGGGAACAACGAAGCTAGCGCGTCACATCAAACATGGCAGTTTCGGGGCCAGTACAGCCCCACGAGTGTCCGCCGGGCACGCGTTGCACTCGCGCGCGATATCTCTGCCGTGACAAATGTCGCGACAGCAAAAGCTGCGCCTCTCTGGGAGTATAAGGAATGGCCATCGTCTGCGAGGGCAAACAGACCGATGCGCACACAAGGGGTATACGGTAGCAGCGCTCACAGTAATTGCGGGGCCGTTCGATATTATATATATATATATATATATATATGCATGTATTACGCGCACACTCGGACGCACACACACCCCCGCGGTGCCACCGAGCTAGGCCCGGAGTGAAGAAGGTGAAGAAAAAGAGACGGGCATTAAGCATGCGTACACGCCTCATAAACCTCCAGCGCTCGCGCGATAAGACATCTGGATGCAGGCAGCGCTTAATGCGGGGAACAAGAACGGCGCTGCATGACGACGTATAAACGGATACAGAACGACGGCTCAGAGGGTGGCGGCGAATAAGACGGAATCGCGTGCGAGGAGGAGAGGGACGCGCGAAGAGGGAGATAAATGCGAGCGGCTCGGGTATTTATCCGCGCGTGCCAATGAAAGGAACGCAAACGCCAATAGGGAACTAACGAGGATTGAGCAAAGCTAGGAAGACAAAGAGAACGAAGCGAGGAGGGGGGGGGGGGGTGATGGTTAGAAATCACGAACACAGGCGGACGTATTAAGCGAGAAGCTATGGGAATAGGAGGAAAAAGTATTGAAAGGAGACGGTAACATTGCGACTGCAGACTCGAGAAGAAGCAGAGATGAACGGAAGGGGCACCCAAAACCGCGATCAACGAGAAAAACAGTAGCGAGAAAGTGAAGAAGAGTGCAAAAGAAAAGAAGACGCAGCAGCCGTGATTAATGACGAAGAGATGCGCCATTTCCTCCTCCTCGAGGGAGGAAGGGTAAGAGGGACGGCACGGCTCGTGGCAGCAGCGAATGAAACGGCTGAATTAATAACAAACACAATTAATCACGCGGCGCGATAGCGTATGCGCTTGCCCGAGGCGCTTCTCTCTCTCCCAGCCGTGGCCGAGGACGATGATGTCGACGAGTGCTGTCCGGAACAGCGGCGGCGCACGGACGACGTTTGCGCTCGGCAGCAGTGCGAAGACCTTGCTTTATTTTGATTATTCTTTAATATTTTTTAATTCGCTGTCACTTTCGATACGTTTTCAAGTATGCGTGTGCGCAAGCCAGAAGGGGTGGGAATGCCGCCTCTCCTCTTTTTCTGCCAACGTCCTTCCTTTCCATTTGCTACGCCGGATGTAGGCGCCTTCTATATATTGTGACGGGAATCGCTGGAAATGATGTTGCGTTTTGCGTGCACCCAGTAAGATATCGTCATGCTTGATATGCTTTGTTTCTGAGGAGTTTTAACGCGCACATGTGACACAATTCAGCGTAAGCTTCTTCTCTGTTACTTTAAGAATATGAATGCTCTTGGCTTTTATGGAACAATAGTATACCGTGATGTAGTTGTCGCCAGAGCACGGCCACATGACACCTGAATGTAATCACACACCACGTCTGTGAAATCAGCACAGACTAGACACACGTACGTCGCTTGAAGTAGAGGCTCTCACCAGACCATGCATTGCAAACATTCGTTGAGCAAGCCTTAAAGCATTGCACACAAGCGCTTTCGAATTGATGGTCCTACACGAAGAACGATAAGGGTAGCAAACCTACCATGCACTTACGTGGTCTAGCAGTACCACGCGCTTTACACTTTAGTTACCTGTGGTGAGTTGAAACTTTATTCATTCCACATTTAAGATGCCATCGGCCATGGAAAAAAAGTCCCAGTTTCACCGCAAGCGCGAAGCAATGAATGCGACAGCAACAACTTGGATGTCACGCTGAGAACGGCGGGCAGATCAAAACGTGCAGCGCGCTGCTCACACACGAATGACGTGCGAAAAAAACACACACAAAGGACGAGAGCGAATTAACAAAGTTTACCGCTCGACACGTAACGCACTGTTCCGTGTCGAGCACGGCAAAGTACGCGTGAGAGATAAGCACGCGTTGGCGAATCGCCCAGCGCGCACTTATCTCTCACGCATACTTTGCCGCTCGAGCGCGGGCGGCCTTTATTGCGATAGCAATTATATGGACACTCTCGGCTGGATTTTGCCGCCGGCGTCGTTGTCACTCACCGTATATGCATGCTTATATATATAAAAATGCAAGAAAAAACCCAGAAAAATACTCTGGCACGCGGTATCTAACTTGGCTGCCCAGGCGTTAACCACTGACATTTTTCTTTCTCAAGGGTTCATATATATATATATATATATATATATATATATATATATATATATATATATATATATATATATATATATGAGATATAACAGACAGTAATGCCAAGGAATGTACAGGGGAAGTTATTAGAACCAATGGAATGTAAATAAGAAGAAAGAAGAAAGAAAAGTGGATGAAAAAATTACCAACTGTGAGCAGGAATCGAACCTACGACCTTCGAATTACGCGTTCAATGCTCTAACCACTGAGCTATCACAGCGGCCCTCCCTCCATCCACTTTTTGGGGTTATCTGTGAATTTAGAAGTAGGAGCGACAGTCAGCGCCATCTATAAGCCAAACAACGAGTGTGAAAACACTCTTATGCGCATGTTTGGCGTCACGTAGCACGTGAACTTATTATGAGCGGGCAGCTGATTAATTGTCCCTCTTATACAACCTAAACACACCAAGTCTGCCAGTACGAGACCCTCGTTCAATGAAATAAGGGGAAAGAAGTGTAAACCTAAGGGCTCGTTTTTCCGTGTTTTAACACAATATTAATGAGATATAACAGACAGTAATGCCAAGGAATGTACAGGGGAAGTTATTAGAACCAATTCTAATTTTCTAATAACTTCCCCTGTACATTCCTTGGCATTACTGTCTGTTATATCTCATTAATATTGTGTTAAAACACGGAAAAACGAGCCCTTAGGTTTACACTTCTTTTTCCCTTATCGTATATATATATATATATATATATATATATATATATATATATATATATATATATATATATATATATATATATATATATATATATATATATATACGATGAATGACGATGGCGACAAGAAACCAGCCGAGACTGTCCTTATAATTGCTATCTAAGTAAAACACTTTATTGTCGGATCTTTTTTCTCGACTCTGGCACGAATCTTCACACTTGTGGAAGGCGCTTCGTGATCTCGAACCAGCACTCATTTTTATTCCTTTTTTATATGCACCGCAAGAGCGAATAACAATGCTTACAACTTACGACCCGATATGTTTGTACACTCTATATATTGACCCAAAGATATCTTTCAGTAAATAATTATTATTCCTCTCTCCCCCATTCAACGCCCCTGATCGGCGGTTTTGAGGCTTAATAAATAAGTAGGTATATTTAATAAATATTTATTTAGGCAAGCATAAAACGGAAACAGAGTCAGCCAGAGGATAAAACAGTTACTTCTCATACTTCAGCGCGGTTTTCAATGTTGATCATGAGGACTCACTTTGAGCGCGAGGAGGTACCGGCCGATGGGCAGTGTTCCCGCAGGGAGGACAAGGTCCTTTCGGGAGAGGGCGCCACTTCCGTGCTGCTCGAATACAACGTGCGACCGCGTTGCGTTGAGGACTGTCCACGAGTAGCGGACCTTGGTCGAGATGGGGCACCACGTACTCACGGTCGCCTCCACGAACACGACTTCGTCGAAACGAACCTATTATGTGCGCCAACGAGAAGAACGGAAGCCGGGAAGACGGGATTCACCTTTAAGAGACCCCAAAATACACCATGCGTATACACAGGAGGCTGTTCAATGCACAAAATGAGGCACAATATGAGGCACAAAATGAGGCGCAACTTGCACCTCTAACTTTCTTTTTTGGTTGGGGTGAGGGGGTAAGGTTAATCTAGCCATTATCAGAACTTACTAAACTTCCTGCCACTAGTGATCTATAACTCATTAGGAACGGCACATGATTAGCAAGCTTACGCGTCCGTTCGATTGTAGGCGAATAAACTAATGAGCTACGAAATCTTCGGTACAAACGCATATTCTACGAGCTGAATAAAAAAAAAAAAAACTGAAACTGAACAACTCATGCCCCTTGTCGCATCAATATACTCGCTGTATGCTTGAACATACAGTCATCGTAACATAACTTCTTTTTGTCATGGCGACAAGCTCAGAAAGGAATGTGCGGCTCTGCGTTTGTTTTTTTTTCCAATGCAAAGCGAGCAGCCGCGTCTCGATTCTCGCGTAGTCTTGTTAGAAAAATTGAGTTTCGTTATTCCACAGGAAGAAAACAAATACATCGCCAGTGTTTCACCTGGAGATTGATGCATTGTCAGCGTAAGCAAAACGTTGGGAAATTGCGCTAGTTACGGTCTGTCGTCTTTTACTTTCCGTGAAACACAGTGAACATTCGCTTACTAACTATATCAACAAGCACGAAGCCACCCTAGCCCCGCCGTGGTGGTCTAGGGCTAAGGTACTCGGCTGCTGACCCGCAGGTCGCGGGATTGAATCCCGGCTGCTGCATATCCGATGGAGGCGGTGAATGTTGTAGGCCCGTGTGCTCCGATTTGGGTGCACGCTAAAGAACCTCAGGTGGTCGAAATTTCCGGAGCCCTCCACAACGGCGTCTCTCATAATCATATCGTGGTTTTGGGACGTTAAACCCCACATATACATCTACGAAGCCACCTGTGCGCAGGGTAACATGAAATCTCATTTAATGTCTCCACTCCCCACGGTTGCCGCAAAGCAGCGATGGGCGAACGCCTCGTGCTGCGCCTCGAATCCGCAGCACCAAAAACTCAAAATTACCAACCTGAGATCCACAGGAATATATCTCTTATAAAGCCAACAGTCATATCAGTCACTCTACAGGGCCTTTGAGTTTGCAGCGCATTCACTACCATATAAAACGGATCGCATGGGCTACGTATGATACGCTCAGTCGCAACAAGTGAAGCGCGCTATCTCCCACACCCTGAACCCAGACCCATCCCCTTCTCAAAGTGCGCGCTTGATCACGTGGTCTGCAGCACCGGACGCGCGGGAAGACGACAGCGCACATCGATTCACCTTGCTTCCCATCGTATCTCACGGAATACGACGAGAGGGCCTTATCTTTATGTGGAACAGCACGGCGACGGCTACAATTCACCTCGAGCACGTATATATTTAGGCCCGTATTCACAAGCTAACCTTATTTTTATCTCGGTTTTTTCTTATCGGTTTTGTGTCTCTAATGCGTTTAATTTAAAAAAAAAAGCAGATTGGTATTCACAAGCCAGCCTTGTAGCTTCTTTGTACCCTGTTACCTTTTATGCACCATTTAATGCATGTAGAGTGCACCGAAGCGTCATGAAAGTGTAAGATAATGACAACGTTTGTTTGTAAATTTGGACCGTAATGTCGCAAGAGAACTGAACCACCTGTACACCTACTGGTTGAGCCAAAACTGTGATGCGACTCACCTTTGTGTGGCGGTTGATGCGAATTTCGGGCTTGTTGCACGGCTGCAACATTGCGAACACGTTCGTCTCAAACTCGGCGCGACTGAAGACATTGTAGGCGACAACCTTGACCCAGTACTCCCGGACCCTGACATAACAAAATGCACAAAAGAAAAAACAGTGCGTTAACTACAAGCACGCTGACTAAAAAGTGGGAATTCTCGTTACTTTAGGTGACATGAAAGTACTGAGCTTTGATGCCCCAAAAAGTGTACTGCAAAACTATCCTAGTGGCCTGTTTTACAGGACGTAATGTAGAAGGGCATACACCGTGCACATGTTGCGTGCGTGCGCAAGCAGCGCTGAAGCTCAGGACGACTAAAAGAACCACTTGAGACGCCACGTTTTAAACATGACCCATTCACTGCAACACTTTGCCTGCGAACTAACATTGGTTGCGGTTCCTGGGTAGTATCTCATGACATATCGGCCTAGAGGATGTAGTTAAGTGGTAGCAGAATATCACGATCATTGCAGATTCGCTCCAGCTGACTCGGTCATCTACGCCACTACTCGCTGGGTGGACCGATGAAACTGCGAGCCAGATGCAGTAAAAAAAAAAAACAGTCTTAATATTCTGCTACCACATGGTACCTTTTTCTACCATGACTTCAGTCATATGAACAACTTATAGAGAGGGAGAGAGAGACTCTATTAGAAAAAGAGATTTTTGCTGGCGTCAATATATCACTGGCATATCTGTATAGGGATAGTGAATGGAACCAAAATATTTCAGGAGAGAGGGAACAAATATGAAACTGTTGCACATAACTGCGGTTATGGTAATTACTTATGAAGTTTTTGCACATAACTGCGGTTATGGTAATTACTTACGAAGTTTTTGGATATTCCAGTGTAATTCTTTTTACTGAGATGCTAGACAAGCATTTGTATGTACCTCGTGCGTGGAACTACGGCGTACATGCGGTATACATGCTCAAAAACAGATTATGCTTGCGTTTACAGGTGTTCAGTGAATTAGCTGAAACCCATTGACATATTATGTGCATAACAGCTTGGTGTCTGCAGGCGAGCACGATCATCTAGAGACAACAGAATGCACATATATTTGACATGTAAAAACGTTAGTAGTATTCCAAAGTGCGGACTCGTTTTGTACTCGCTTTGAACAAGATAGAGTTGTAGCAACTGAGAATGAACGATGCGTTTAGCAGCCAATAAGTAATCGTGGACTGTATCTTGCCTCTGCTACCATTTGTTACTTATCCTCTCTTAGTCCACTTCAAGCTCAACATGCAATGAAATTGTATGTACGCTACTCCAGAACTATAAGATGCTTTAGCCATTAACAGATGGCACTGTCACAAGACGGCATTCTTTGGCAAGGACATATTATTCCTTCGTGCACTGCAAAGGGTTCAGCCACCCTTCATCATCAGCATAATCTGCTTGCTACCGTAGGGAGCAGAGACAACTTCTTTAAACACACACACACACACACACACACACACACACACACACACACACACACACACACACACACACACACACACACACACACACACACACACACACACACACACACACACACACACACACACACACACACACACACACACACACACACGCACGCACACGCACGCACGCACACACACACACACACACACACACACACACACACACACACACGCACACACACACATGGCGAGTAGGAAGCCAATCGATCATAGGAAAGTATAGGACAAGGCAGCGTTTCAGTGGGTATCTAGAGTAGCAGTCCATAGGTACCTGGTGAACCTGTGCGACACCTCGGGATTGTCCGTGACCACTGCCGGAGCGCTACCGTCTCCGAAGTTCCACACAAAGGTCAAGTTGCTGCCGGTCGTGTGAATGGCTCGAAGCCGCGTGGGCCGAGACACCAGCACTGGTCCGAGGACGACAATCCCGTGAAGGTTGGTCACCCGCTCGACGAGACGAAGCGCCAACTCTGGCGACGTCGCAGAGCTCACGTGATTCTGGCACGTCACCCTGATGACGTAGCTGAAAAGGGGATCGACGAAGGACGCGGAGACGACAATCGATAGAGGAAAATCTATACGTTAATAGAAGCGCGACGAAAATTATGTTAATACTTTACAATTGGTAAAAGGCCACTGCCGCGTGCGCCCGCGCATAAGAGCAAGCCTACAATGTCGCTGTCCTTTCTGCTTTTAGTAAGCAATTGCAAAACGATTTGCATAATAGCACGTGAATAGTAGCGGCATATTTTCCTGGAAGATGCCTTTACGTTTCTTCCAATTGCGTCAATTAGGTGTCGCGAGCCTTTCTACGTCAACACTGGATGTTAACCTTTGTTTATCAGATATCAGACGTTCCGTGCATCCGAGGATATATTAACACCACATAGCCCTTGCGGAGATACGGTGGAGAGACGAAGAGAGGAAACACGATTCCCCAGATAAATCCAAAAACGAAACGGTTGCATTCCACTAGCAATCGCAGTGAGAACAAAAGTAGAAAAAAAAAACTGAATGTTTCCTACTGTGTTCACGCAAGGAGGGACCGAAAAATCGAAAGCACTCTTTAAGCATATTTCTTTGGCGATGGTGGATATTTGAAATTACGAACTATATGCTATACGGTAACTTAAGTCGCTTCACAACATGTCACTCATATTAAAAAAAAAAAAAAACGACCATTCACAGTAAGAGAAAAACAAAACAAGCAAACGAAAAAAAAACACCAAATGCCAACTTCGATATAATCAGAAAATGATTGAGCTACAGAAATAAAAGTATTTATCGCTCAGCGTGATTGCTGTAAAAAATGAATAGGTCGGCAAAGGTTACAGATGCTGAAGCCTTCGAATTGAAGTCCTGTATGAATGTCATATGACAGCGAGATTACTGGCTCCACTGCATCAGAAACGCGCTAGGCGGCGCTATACGTTGCCGGCACATGGTGGTGCCTAAACTCACGTTCCAGGCCTGGTGGGGCGGAGGTTGACGACGGCGGCGTCCGTGCACGTACTGTTCTTGCTGCGGAGTCAGAGACCAGCGGAAGCGCAGCATCGTCTCCGTGGCAGGCGTCGCGAAGGCCCGCAACAGAAATCGTTTTTCCGAGGGCAACGTGAGATGCGCGGGCGCGCATGTCTCGCCAGCACCGGGCGGCCAGACGCACAGAGACACCTCTGCGAAGTGCACAAGGAGGGAGAGGAAGCGGATGCCGTCAGTAAAGTGCCCGATGGCTGCCTGTGCGAGCAATAACTGCGCTATAAAGAGAAACGAGACCTCACAGCAATCACTTCGTCTCCTGCACATTTTTTACGGCGACGGGAGCATGTACGTGCATACTCACCTACCACTGCACGTACCACTGTGCACAGGTAACCCGCTTGTTACTCAAATGATAGGTTGTGTTCAAATCCACGTCTCACCATTAAGTAACGGAATTTTTCACGAAGGCAGTGGTTTTGTTAAGTGCACGCACCGAAGGAAACCCCGGAATGAAAAAAAAAAATATTTTACGGACGTCTAGTTTAGCGCAATGCCTATTGTAATCCCTGGCTGTAAACGTTGGTCACTTGCACTATTGTTTGTTTACGCGTGGCACAGCTAGCAAAAAGCTCACATTACGCGTAAGACACATATACAATAAGACACATATCCAGCACATTTTTATTCATATCTGTTCATACGAGATGATTGAATACGAGGCTGCCATATAAACGTTTTTGACAGAATTACATCAGAACAAAAGCTGACGATCTAATGAAAAGCGAAGTGAGTCAATGAATGAAAACACTTATTAAAATTACCAAGAAACCACTGAGTCGTGGACATGATCTCTCGTGTGCTGATCAGTTTGTGGTTCTCTCTCTTTCTCTCTCTCTCTCTCTCGGAGCCGCGAGTGCCAAGAACAACAAAAGTAATCAATGCGCACGTCCGTGTGTGCCATGCTGCACTTGCGCCGTTTGGGATGTTCAAGTCCGCGCATTAAGAGGGCCAAATAACTACCATGCTCTGCAAACGTTCGCCCATCTATATCCCACTCAAACTTCTTATGTGTTTCAGTGAATGGAAAAAAAATTAAGCGGCTTGCGAATTCCCGCTTCGAGCTATTTCAGCCAGTGACAACACTACCATTTCAATTCAGGTAGCAGACTGAAGCAGTGACACCCATGAGAACGAATTTCGCAGAGCAGGAGAAAGACTTAAACTGGCAGTGCACTGATGTGAACAGTAAAATCTATGTTTGCCGGAACTCGTATTATAGTGGCTCAAAGAAAGAACTGAAATGGAACCGGGAGGACACCAGGTGATAAATAATATTGCAGGAAGAACGCAGCTTCTATACAACGACGTTGCTTACTGCAGTGTGTTCCCCAAACCGAAGAAAAGTGCAACAAAAGATCAGCACTGAGTTCAGCGCTAAAACAAAGTAATTCCCCGGAGGCACAAGTTAGCTAGCTCTTGTCGAGATGACACAAACAGGAAAAAAAAAAAAGAAGCAACAGAAACAACAGGGTTTGTTTTTCGGCACCCTGCAGTGTGGTAGTAAAGGACGGCTGGCAAACCAACTTACAAATTTTCAATAACATTACTGATTACAGGAAATTTCACTCATAGCTCTGCGGAAGCAAATACCCATGAGCAGGCAAAACTGCCAAACAGGGTGATCAATCAACTGAAACTGCTATTCTCAAAATGATCTTGTTCGAGTGCAAGTGAGAAAAAAAAAACAAGTAAATTTCTGTTTCCTCGAAGCGCTGCTTTTGCTTTCACTATTGCGCCATGTTCGGAGAAGCACGACCAGAACCGGTAATTAACCGTCAGCGGTCAACGTCCTTTTCACCCGATGTTTTATTTATGTATATTTTTGCCCAGCGACCGAAAAAAGCTCGACCTGGTAGGAACGATTAGTCTAAGAAAGCCTAACAGTAAGAGCAACACAAAAGTTTGCAAGACACCGTGAAACGGAGTTACCGCAAACGGGAAAGAACGCAACCACGACTGAAACGAAAGGCAGCGAGGTTAAGCAGATCGCTACATCAGGGTTACTACCCTGCCGTGGTGTGGGAAAGCAGGAGAGCATTAAAAATAAAGGGGGAAAGGACAAGGTGCGAGGCCTTCAAAGAATGTGCGAAAAAGGCACTAAAAAGATAGGACAAAGCCCAGCGACCATGCGAAACCTTTCACCTTGACACAAATATTCAGTTCGGAGAATCAGTGAGGATACTGTTGGATTTATTTTGCGTGAAAGGGCGATGGTTTTCGGAGAATTTCTCTCGAGGGATGTCCCCACTGCTATTGGTGAACAGATCAGGTAAGCTGGTAGCTTATAAATTCACGGATTACGTTCATTGATGATAGTTCAAGTTGCTTGATACTTTCCTAAAAAAGGGAGAGTGAACGGAAACAGAAGCGGAAACGGAAGAGTGCTTATTAGACTTCGCGAAAAACCATCGGACAGCTCCAGATAATAACCTATATTTCAGCACTATAGCACCCAAGTGACTAAAGAGGGCCTCCGAAGTAAATTGCTGACACGGAACGACAGGCGCTCGAAAGAAGCGGAAGTAGCGAAATCTCCAGACATCCAGATAAACTGAGAGGATTACCGACTCAAGCTTTGGCTTGCCCAATCGGCCGACAATATAATTTGACACGACAAGGGTGTGACAGTTGGACAAAAAAGAAATGAGCTCTCGATCTCATGAAACCGAAGATATGGAAAAATGAAATAGAGGCAAAGTAAATCAACAGGAGGAAGCGAAGCGATTAAAAGAAAAAAAAAAGTTGGTTGCGACTTTGGCGACGCGAAGTCATTCAAGAAAATCTAAAGCAACCGAGCATGCCACGAAATCTTTCTTCTTAGCAGTGTTTTTTTTTTTTTAGGCGCTACAGTTTTTGAGGTCCAAACAACCACAGAATGCGTGCAGAGAGAAAGAAAATAAGGTAAGGACAAAATCGAACGTTGAGCTGTAGATATCATTGCCACGTTTTCTTTTTTTTTCGTGTTGTATTTTTATAGTGACATTTGTTTTTATAATATCTATGCAGCTGAAACAGACGAGGCGCTGCGCTGTCACAAGGACGTCAGCCAAAACCGTGATTGAATTTGTCCCGATCGTCATCTTCAGAAAAGCAGGAAATCGCGACAGAACGACAGCGTTGAAAGCCAGCAACAAGAAATAGTTCAAGGATATGCGAGAAAACTCAACGAAATATTGGTGGTACAATGAGGAAGCAGCACATACGTGACAGCGACAACGCTCATCATCATTATAATCAGCGGCAGCAAAAAAAAAAAAGAAGAAAAACTGTTCAAAGCGCACAAATATGTACACATGAAAACTTCGAGAAGTAAAAAAAAAGGGAAGTTTAGCTAGACGGCACAGAAGAGAAAGGGCTCCGTAAGAAGAGAATTTTGCCGCTTGTGAACTGGGCAAGAATGAAGGAAGATATATATTCATTCGGCCAAAAGGAAGGAGAGAAGTGTAAGTTTTGTGAAACGAGTGCGAACGGGTAAAAGGCAACGAAAGAGCCCAGCGGAAGGGCAGGTTCCCAACTGGGCGTATATGATTGCGAGGTATGTCTTCTAATCATATTAGGATTTTCGTGTTTCGGACCTCCACCAGCCTTTCGAGACAATACCCAGATGTACCCCAACCATGACCACAAGTCTCGAGATCCAAGCCACTGCAGCGAAAAGCAGTCGACAGCTTAATAGTGAACTCGTTATAGAAACTGCCTGCATGAGGTGCCAATATGGTGACTTATATTAAGATTTTAGATGCCTTCTCAAACGCGAAATTTGACCGTCGGCGTCTCGCGGAGTCGGGGACGTGTGATCAAAGAAGACCGCCATCCCGAGATGACGTCATAATATGACGTCGCGAATCACCAATACGTTTTACTTCATTACGCCGTATAGTAGCTTGTCACATGCCCCGCCGCGGTGGTCTAGTGGCTAAGATACTTGACTGCTAACCCTTAGGTCGCGGCATCGAATCCCGGCTGCGGCGGCTGCATTTCCGATGGAGGCGGAAATCTTGTAGGTCCGTGTGCTCACATTTGGGTGCACGTTAAAGAACCCCAGGTGGTAGAAATTTCCGGAGTCCTCCACTACGGCGTCTCCCATAATCATATTGTGGTTTTGGGACGTTAAACCCCACATATCCAATAAAACATCCATCAGGAGGTCCAATCACGGAGGGAATGCAACACTAGGTGACGTGCCTCCAATCTCGCAGGCAGTGCAAAACCACGACAGGTGCGGAAAGCATTTGAAGGATGGCGAAGCAGCATCAATACGTCGGCTGAGGGGAAGAAAGAGATGGCCTTGGCCTTCCAGTCGTCTTAAGCGAATGTACAAGGAACCCTATGAATTTGTTTTATTTTATTTTCACTTTCAGCGGTGCCTTGAACCCTACACTTGGGGTGAGGGGTCGGAAAGTTTCTGAGGGGAAGAGCCGAGTTGCAGGAAGCCGACAAGGCAAGGGAGGTGGAGGGGGGGTGGGCTTCGCAGGCGAACTTTGAATATATGCAGCAAATTGACAATACTTTGCCAAAAAGGAGTTACACGAAACAAGAAAAAATTCCATTCCAGGTCAAAACTGCCAGGTCGGCCCTCAGATGACAAGAGAGAAGGGAGGGGTGTTCAAGGGGGCTACATAATATGAGTTTTCCAATAGGGGCCCCAAAGCACTTCGCGTGTGCTTCATTTAGGCCAAGCAGGAGCTAAGACTTTTCGAATAGGGTCTTCAGCGCTTTGGACACTCCCCCTATTCTACGATTCACTGCCTAAGCATTCCGTACAGTGGTTAACCAGTGAAATCCGTAACGTGTGGCCCCGGTGTTTAGCAGTGGGTTCAACTCGACGGGACACTGAAGCCTTTCATAATTATTCGTTAAGTATTGGTGCTCCTTAATGACATTAGACACACCTTTCACTCGGGTTTACCTACTTCACATGCCGCACCTTGTGTCTCGGATGATCACGTTCTTGGAGGAATGTAATGAGTGGTTAAATGCGCTTCGTAATGCATTA